CCCGCCCCAGCCCCTGCTCCCAGGCCATGCCCTGCAACGCCGCTGCGAAGCGGCCCCCGCCGCCGGGGCCGGCACCGGGCCCGGCTGCCCGCTGCTGCCCGACAAGAGCCTGCCCGGGCTGAAGGGGAAGGAGCCGGTGGTCTACCCCTGGATGAAGAAGATCCATGTGAGCACGGGTGAGTTGCCCTTGCCAGGGGGAGGTGGGGATGAGCCTGCAGAGGAGGGAAGGGGGGAGGGTGCTCCCGGGGCCGGGATGGGTCGTTGCCTGTGTGGCTTTTTTTTTTTTTCCCCTCCTTCTCTCTCCGCGTTTCCTAATAAAAAAAAAAAAGTGAGAAACCTTTTGTATCCGGGGTCCTTTATCAAAAGATTTACGAGACGCCAAACTGTTAGGGCAGTAATTATAGCCCCCATAAATTTAATTGCCCTGCAGTGGCTCTGGGCCATGTGTCTTTGAAGCTTTTCTTCTAACCCAAATGCCCATCACCATTTTTTATTGCTCCTCGATTGTCCCCACTGTCGATAGGCTGTGAAACAATTTTTCTTGCCGTTTATGTATCTTACGCGAACCTGGTGTCAAGTTATTATATAATGATTATGTTCCATCGCTTTCGTCCCCCCCTCTCCCTTTCTTTCCCCCTCCGCGCGTGTGTGTGTGTGCGTGCGTGTGTGTGCGTGTGTGTTGCCTGTGTGCGCACGTTTCAGTCAATCCCAATTACAACGGAGGGGAGCCCAAGAGGTCTCGCACTGCCTACACCAGACAGCAGGTCCTGGAGCTGGAGAAGGAGTTCCACTTCAACCGCTACCTGACCAGGAGGCGACGCATCGAGATCGCTCACACCCTCTGCCTCTCCGAGCGCCAGGTCAAGATCTGGTTCCAGAACAGGCGGATGAAGTGGAAGAAAGACCATAAACTGCCTAACACAAAGATGCGCTCCTCAAACCAGTCCACACTGAGCCAGCAGTCCAAAGCACAGACACAGGGCCACCCCCATCCGCTCGATGGGACAGCTGCCCCGTGGTGGAGGCTGGCCGTTTGGACCAAACAACTGTGTAAAACAAAACAGGAGCAGGAAAGGAAGACGAGACGTGCCCAAGAACGGGCACATGTTTAAACCAAAACCCGGACGATTGTCTACATTGTATATAGATAATGGTTCCATGCCCATCATTTTTTTTCTATTTATGGAAACGCTCTCTTGCCCTCGGTGTAAGAGAGGGCTGGATGCTGTCACGGACGAATTCTCTGTACCTAAGACGGACACTTTTTTTTTTTTTTTTCTTTTTCTAGAGAACACTTTAAAAATAAAAGACGGTTAAAACAAAGCAAAGACCTTGTGAGACACTCGTGTAAGGCATTGACTTGAATAGCGCTGTTTCGTGGCGTGTTCGTGGATTCCCGTGTGCGTGTGTGCGTGTGTGAGGGTGCACACGCACGTATGCACACAGGCCAACACGGGAGAGAGAACGAACACCTCCACGGGAAGTTAAAGACTTACGAAAAATGTCCCCTTACGCTGTCGAAAGGAAAATGTTTTATGTATCAAAGGTAACTTAACTGGTTCTAAGTGTAGCCCCCGCCGTAGCTGTGATCTATTAGTTTTTCTCCACATTCCCGATTGCATTTATTTAAAGAAATATCGCTATAAAGGCTGTTGCTGTCTTCATATTTGGCACCGTCTAAATCGTTTGGGTCCATGTACAATTTGTGGATTTTTGGTGTAATGTATAACAGTGCCAAATGCTGGTAATAAAGGTTATTCTGTACAAAAGAATTAAACGCTTGAAACACAAGTCCACTCAGTGCTGTTTCATCCCCCTTGTGCTTGGCTGGTGTTGGCACCAGGAATGGAAAACAACGGTTTCACGCATCGTTTTAACTTGGATTCATCTTGTCAATAAGGTAATGGTTGCTTTAAATGTAGTGAAAAACGTCCTGACTCCTAATTGCCTGGCTGGGAAAGAGAGCGCTGTAGGACGAGGAAAGGTCTTGCTTCATCGTGTAGGTGAGTGGTGTTCTCGTTAGCGGACTCCTGGCAGAATCAGTCCGGCTGTCCATCCCTGTCCGTACGACCGGGTTCAGCCGCGGTACAGAGAAACTGTGCTTCTGCTGGGAGAAGCTCCACTAAGCTCCCATGACGGGTTTTGCTGGAGGAGAAGTCACACATGCTCCCCATGATAACACTTTAAATCTTTCGCCAGGCGTGATTTATTCGTGCATTTTCGCCCGATTATGATTTCTCAATTGGCTAGCACTTTTGAAGGGGAATACATGGGTGGTAACCTAAAATTTCTCTCAGCTGCCTCTTCTGTTTCTGTTTCCTTTTATTTTCTTTTTAAGACTATTTCGAAATGTGTTGAGAAAGCCTCGGCAGAAACATGAATCTGCGTACAACTCAAGAGCTTTATTTGACAGATTGTCGAAATGAGTGTGGCAAAATGGGGTTCGAGTGGTTCCAGCTCAGGCTGCGCATCTCGCTGCTTCCAGGCAGCTAAGGAGCGCAGGCAAAGCCGAGCTGCTAACGGGGAGCCTTGCTCAGGGCTTCCACAACAGAGAGTAGCACCGAGCCGGGTAGGAAAAGGCTTGGAAAGGAGCTCAAGTGCTGGTAAATCTTCCAGGGAAGGCCTGAAGGCCAAGACTTATTTACTTACCCAAATACATCCAAGAGGGATTTTTGGAACCAATGCTTCTCTTCGCGTGAGTGAGGCCGCCAGGACTGGGTGCATCATCACCCCCTGGGTGAGGTAGCACCAGGCCCCAGGGTTAAGGCCAGCATCCCTGCCTGGCCAAGGAACACGGATCGTCCCGCAGAAAAATGTAAGGTGCCGCTGGCAGGGCACGGTCAGCATCAGAGAGGTGGCGGCTGTAAATACCCTCGGCAAACACTGCTGTCTCCAAACCTGGCCAAGGAGCAGGCCTGAAAAGCATGCTTCCACTCCCATATTGCTGTTTACTAAGCCCTAAATTGCCAGCTGCCGCCTTGTAAAGGGACAATACTATAGCTGTAAGTGAGGTAACCACTATCTGCAAGCGTGTGACTCTTCGTTTAGTTTATTGCTTGAGAATCCCTCAATATATGTAGAGCCAAAATTAGCACAGCCGAGCAAAATTCCAGCTGAAAAGTATTAACCGGCGATGCGGGCTTTCTTTAGTGTGCAGCCTATGTGTATAAACCCGGTTTGCTCCCATTGTGAAGAGAAATGAAATCACGCTGCAAATAGCAATTTTAGCGAGAATCATTAATCACCTCCTACAATAAACACTTCTTTGTAATTCAACAGCGGTTCTGAAAGGCATTCTCTTGGAAAAGTCTGTGAAGACGCAAAGGATTTTCCTGGAAAAAAAAAAAAAAAAGGTGGTCATGTGTAGAGACACAGCATCTTGGCTGTCTACTAAAAAAATGTACACTCTCTTGCTGGAGATTGAACAGCGGACTGCAAAATACCCCATGGCAGATTATCGTCGTTTAAGGTAAATTTTCCGTTTTCCCCCCCTTCCCCCTCTGCCTGGGCTGGGAGCGGGACGCTGCTCCCGGGCTGGGAGCCCTCTGCTCCCCGTCCGATACCGCCCGTCTTTACAATAACTTCGAAAATTACATCGTCCAGTTTAAATTCTCGCATTGTGCTCCCTTTGCTAAGGCAACCGGGAGTTCACCGAGAGGACAAATTTTCTATCCCATTAATTGTTTTTTTTAGAGGAGCAGACTGACCCTTCAAACCCTTGACCTTTAAAGACAGTATTCTTTTTAATCCGGCACTTGGACCTAAATGTCTCTTTCCCCCCCTCCCTCTCTACCGCTCTCCCCGTGTCTCTCACACCCGGATTTATCTGCTCTGGACACAAAGGCGAGCGCGGCCCAAAACGCTGGAAGTGGAAGTTTGTCAATATTTCAAAGAAAGACCAAATCACCTCGGAGTCAATTTGCTGGCCGCAGGGAACACCACGCCGTTAACCCTGCTACCCACCTCCCCTCCACCCACCAAGAAAAATGCTCCTTTTCGAAGATCCCCCTCCTCGTTGCTCCTGCAAACTCTTGCTATACCTGGTGTTTTATTACACGGGGAACTCAGCTGTGAAAAGCGCCTTGTGGTATTTAATAACTAGAGCCATCCTGCATTGGAGGATTACCCAATGCTGGGTCTTTTTTTCCTTTCTTTTTTTTTTTTTTTCTTCAGGGTGCTTGCCGTCCCGTGGCCTTCTTGCCCGGTGTGTGTAAATGAGGAAGGGGTGGGGGGAGCCCTCACACAGGCAGAGATCTTGACAGGTTTGCCATGAAACTCCAGTCCCCCCTCGCTCCCC